TGTATGCTCAATCGACTGAGCCACCCAGGTGCTCTTGTTGGTAACTTTTTTTGTGAGAGTAGGAGAGGGGATCTAGAAGGGCTGAGTAATTGCTTAGGACATTTTCAGGTAAAAAGCATTGTTAAGTTAGTAGGATTTTATTGTAGATCTTTTGAATTAAAATAATTGATTATAAATATTGTTCATTAGGAGTTCAAATAATGTTACTGCTTAGCTTCCAATGCAAACATCATTTTAGAGAAATGTCTATTCACTCTATTTCCACATTCATTTTAATAGCCTATGTGTGAATAAGTTACCAGCCATATCTTTTTTTTAAAATGAATTTGCATTTTTTCCTGTGATGATATGACTAGTAAATGTTATCGTGATGTAAACCTCTTTATTTGATTGGCCTATTTGCAAAGTGTGAATTTAATGTTCTGATTTTCAACAAATTCAGTTGAAGGGAGTTGTAGAGCACTAAACCCAAAGGACAGCTAGCTCATGTTTCATTTCTTCTACCTTTGCTGCGTTTTGCTTCCAAAGTCATCCTGAGTCAGGCCCTGGGGGAAGATGGGCCGATACTGGATCTGTGATCATGTGTCCCAAACATTAGTTGAGATGGAATAATGGAAGCTGTTGACTAGGGAGGAATGAGCTTATTTTGCTGATTAAGACAAACACTAATAAACAGCCAGCCCTTGAAATCATAGTAAGGGTGAGGGGAGGTGCACTTGTGTGTATGTGTACCCATGCACGTATGCAGATAATGTGGGGAAGGGGGGTAGGGCTGTGTGGCTAAAGTGTGTATCAGCTCCTCTTGACTGTCCTTCGGACACAAGGAGAATCTTTGTCTCTTAATTTGAACGTGCATCCTCCCTCTATTGTGGAATTCTATGTTCCTTTTCCCATTCCTTCTTGTTACCTGTAAATTTTCAAATGATTTGGGTATGAACATGTTGGAAGTGGGAGTAGTCATTTTCCTCAGCTTACTGATGAAAATTGGTAGGGGATGCCGGGAGATGTAATAGAAAAGGCATATGGGAGAAAATGACCAGTGCTAAAAGAGAAAAAGAGGGACAGTACGGTGAGTAATGTAACTGCCGAGTGGATTGGCCACTTAGCTGGTCACTACATTATTTTCTTGGGTGAGAAACATACTCTGGAAATCAACTTAGTTTTAAGAGCTGTTCTAGAGCAGTAGAATCTGATTTTATGAATCTTATCAAACTATGATAGTTGAATCAGTTATCTCCTCTTTAAACAGATACTAACACTGAATGGATGGGTTGTTGTGCTCATGACCTTCATGGTATTATATAACCACTTATTGATTCCTCATTATTTATGGTTATGATTCTATGGACTTCTTCTCCTGGGGGCAGGGATGGCTGTGTAGACCAGAGGTTTCCATTAGAAGAGAGACGACACAAGCATCCATCCACTGCCTGGTCAGCTTTGGGATTCTAAGATGACCTTTATTTTTTCTAATTTACATTTATTTCTAAATGTCTGTAATTTGTAATTTGTTTTCCTTCAATCTAAGTTACTTCAGAAGTGTTTAGATTTTCAAGTGGCTTGGATTTGGGAGGTGGGTCACTTTGAATTGTTAAAATCTAGTGTTACTACATTATGGTTAGAATATATTGCCTATCTGATTTCTTCCTTTCGTCGTTTATGATCATTTATGATCTTCTTTTTCCAACCTAATACCAGATACTTTTGATACATGTTTCTTTGCAAAGATACTTGTTAGCCGCTTCTGAGACTGGTTCCGTAATACATTAAACTTGTATCATTGAAACCTTCTGGGCTACTCAGAGTGTTTCTTCTCTTATACTGGCTTGTTCTACATTTTCCCATTACCTATTTTCATAGTTCGCTGGGATTAGGGGAGATGAGGGCACGGAGGTTAAAAACAGCTATTTGAGGCAGTCAGAGGACCAGACATTACAAGGGCCTTTTGCTCAGACTGATTTAGGTCCTCCTTCAGTGAGAATGAAAAAAAAAATTTTTTTTTAAATTGTTGCTATAATTGAATTGTCTCTTTGAGGAACACTTCCCCCTCTTTTTCTTTCAGTCACTCTAGATTACTTCTGTTATTTAAGTTAAGGAGACGAGATCATTTAGAAGAATTTAGCCTGTGATAAAGAATAAAGAATAGCTTATTGCCGTATGTGTTAATCTCAGGAATGGGCTAGAGGGAGATAGAGAAGGCGCTCAGCCTGATCCTTTATGAATGGGACATGTTGGAGATTAATTGTTGATTTCTCTCTGTGTTCTTCCTCTTCTTATCTCTTTGCACACACCCGGTTTTCTGAAGTCTGGTATTCCTCTTGCCTTTTCTTGAGTTTCATGATTACATGGTGATGAGGAGTCCTGGGTCTAGAGCCGGTCTGCCTGGGTTTGAATCCTGTCTTTCTGCTTGTTGACTGTATGATTCTGGGCAAGTCACTGAATTTCCCTGTGTCTTGATTCTTCATTTGTTAAATAGTACCTACTGCATAGAACTGTTATGGTATTATATGAGATGTAATATGTGAAAATGCTTAGAATAGTACATGATAAATGTACCCAATAGTGCTTAATAAATGTAAGCTACTGTTATTCCATGAGGCTTTGGATAGCCTGTTTCACATTTGTCTATGACATACGTCAATTTAGATAAAGAATAAATTTCAACTGCCTAACATAAAAAAAAAGACTAAATGTTAATTGCCTAAATTTTAAAAATAGCCAAATATATGAATCTCTTGAGGATTCTTGCAGTGACCACAACGATTAATCAGTGTTGTCACTACTTAAATGATGGTTTGCTTTTTGGAGGAAAGGCTGTCATTTATAGATGCTTTCATAATTCATATGTGCCAACATATACAGTTCTCCATGTAAATGGTCTGGTTTTTAAGCTTATTAAAGTTACTGTGTCAAAAACAGGGTTAATTAAAATCTCCTTTAAAGATTTTATCCTTAATGTTACATTAATAAGATTCTTTTATTCCCCGTGCAGCATCAAAACTTCCATTCAGCTTTGAGGTATGAGGTCTGATTTAGAACCTGCAAGACTTCAGTACTTGACCATCATGGTCCTATGCATGTAACTAGTCATTGGCTATGGATATATAGCCATTTTCATAAGCTCCTTAGTTTTGTTTTCTTATTAATTAATTTTGAATACATGAAGCAGGTATCAAAGAGAAAGCTTGGTCTGATTAAACTCAGTTCTTATAGTCTTTAGTTTTAGACTAGATTTAGACTAGACTAGTTTTAGCTAGATTTTTTTTTAACGTAATTAAGTCTAGGGCCATAGAATAAGATCTCTCACAGCCTAACTCAAATCCCAAAGTCTTTGTAATACATTAGGCTTTTGGGGACCCATGAGGGTGGTGGTGGGAGATGAAACTCACTGGTTAAGAATAATTTTTAAATTTCTAACTTGTTTTTACTAAGAATAGCAGTGATGCTCTACATACCTTCAGAAATACCAACCACATCTTGTTCCTTTGTATCTGCTAGAGAAATCCTATGTTTTCAGGTGTCCTGCTCGCTATCATCTAGGCTCACCTTAAAGTTCATGTCAGAAGGGAGTGTTTTGGGGGAGAATTATCTCTGAGGTCCCAGGTACTTGGACTAACACTTGGGTTGTGGGCTGTGAGGAGGAGAAGGGGGGTGTGGAGAGGAGTCACCTGAACCCTTTGAGTAGGAGCCTCACCCTCACTGCCTTCTGCTAGGGCTGCAGGTGTTGTCAGGCGGGTGCTGCTAACTGTCGCACTTACCTCCAGAGAATAGGTGACCCATGCTTTATGGCTGCTGGAAAGCATTTACTGGGAAGCTGGCAACTGAAGGTGGTTGCAAGTGACAGACCAAACATTGTTCAAGTCCTTGTTGAGTAGTACAGAGGGAGTTTGGAAGTGTGGTTAGAGACCTGGGCACTGTGTCCAGCTCCATAACTTATTCATTGTGGGACGACCTCAGTGATAGTCTCCAATTTTCTTTTTGGGAAAACAATATAATGCCATCTGCTTACCTTTAAGAGTGTTTTGAGGATTAAGGAGTTAATCACCTTGGATGAAGGCAGGAGCCTGAGCATAATATCATTGCCTTTTTAGAGAAGTTCCGGTTTGGGGAATAAAGTAGTGAAAATAAAGGAATGGAATGGGCTGTCTACAACTCGGTATGTTTCAAGTCCAGCTGTAAATCAGGTTTCCATTCTAGCTGAGAAATTTTAACTTAAAAAAATATATATATATTTTAGAAATGACACCAAACCAAATGTCTGACCTGCTGTTTGTGGGAAAGAACAGATGTTTATTCTGAGAACATACTAATGAAGATGTTAGTGGTTTTCTCCCACTGTAAGGGAATAAGATGGGTCATAAGAGAGAGCAGAGATTTAAGTATAGTTTGCTCTTACTGTCCCATCACCGGTGTGTTCTTTTTGAGAGAATCGATATTACTTCATTTTGTTGGTTTTCCAAGTTTCTTTGACAAAGAAACTTCATAGAAGTCAAGCCAAAACAAAACAAAATATAAACACACATACAGCAGTTGCTTTAAATACCAAGGGTGTCAGCATGAAATTAAAATGAATTTACTGACATTTCTGCTTTGAAATTTTTTAAGTAAAACTAATTTAAACCAACAGTGAAAACTTGTGGCTTTACCTTATAATGGGAAGTTTGACCTTTTTCAGTGCTTTTGGCTCAGGGGTTTTGACATGGGATGTTTCTGGTTAAAATTTGCTTCAACTTTCTAATGGCTCTTGGGATTTTGGTCAATCTTTGGTTGTGGAATAGCAAATGCTGTCTATTGTGTTGGTACCATGTAGTTTTCAAAGACAAGGTCTCTGAAGTAGTGGCTATGGTATCCCCTCCGCCCATGTGTAATTGTTAAAAAGAACACTGTTGTCATGTGAATTCTTATTTTTTTTGAGCTTGCTTTTGAAGTAACTTTCACAGAGAATTCCTGTTACCTAGAAATTGATGACAGACTTACACCATTTCCTTTTTTTTTCTTAGACGTTCCATCCTCAGAGCAGCCTGAACTGTTCCTAAAGAAACTTCAGCAGTGCTGTGTCATTTTTGACTTCATGGACACGCTATCTGATCTTAAAATGAAAGAATACAAGCGCTCCACTCTTAATGAACTGGTGGACTACATTACAATAAGCAGAGGCTGTTTGACAGAGCAGACTTACCCTGAAGTAGTTAGAATGGTGAGTTTCTTGTTTTCGCCGCGGACACTTTTAAGCATCTTCCATAGCGACGCACAGGTGTAATTATTGCAGAGCCAGGTCACTGGAGGTCACCTCCACAAATGAGAGCCAACCTTCTGAGAGCTAAGCTAAAGTAGCCGGAACAATAATAGAGTTTGAAGAGTATGATTTCATGAGCGTGAAATCCACAACTTTTCACCTACAACAGTACTGGAGGAGCCAGTGACTTCCGGATATGAAGCCAGGATGGCCAGGGTGGTCTTGGATTTCTGGCGCTGGGAAAAGAAAGGCACAGGAGAATCAACACAAGTTGTAGATCTGTGTTTGAAAAATATTCAAGCCTGTTGGATGTCTTGATTTTTTTTTTTCCTTTTTTCTCCCTGTTCATCGTGGTAAATTAGAAATGGCTTTAACCTTAATAAAATTGTGATTTGTAGAATCTAGTTAAAGCCTCTCCTGGCTTTATATAAACTAATCATTCTCATTATGCTCTTGAAATCCGGGGTGATGTCTTTCATTTTTTTTTGAACAGTGTCTTGCACTTTGTGTGGTCATTAGGAGTTATGAGAAGAAACATTATTAGCATAATGGAAGTAATTATGTTCTTATTGGGTCAATAATTATATTAGTTTTTTTTTTTAAAAGCTGAGCCAAAATATGGTTTTCTGTTAGATTTCTATGGGAAGCTTGCCTTCCTTGGCATCCCAGAAGATCTTGGATCTAGAGACTATGTGCCCTCTGGGGGAGGTGGGGCTCTTCCCCTAATTGGTGAAATGGTGCTGCAGAGACCCAAAAGGGTCAGCGCAACCACTGGGAAGCCCCTTGGGGAATCTGGCCCCTTCTCTCTGTACTGCTGGAACCTGTCTAGCTTTTCCGTTCAACTTTTATAATTTGTATCCAACAAATACAGAAAAGAGACCTCTGTGATGAAGTAGATGCGGTTAAGAATGAATAGTTCAGATTTGGGAAGGGATGTGAATTATCACAACTTGAGAAACCGTGATTGATGCATGAGGGTCATTTCAAAACAATGTCCAGTGTTTCCCTCAGATTGATGTTTGAGTGTATGTCGTGTTTGTCGTTAATTTAGAAGAATGTAATAGTAGAATGCTGTGTAGGTTAACTGTTAACACTGGAGCTCGTGAGCAGTGGTTCTCAACGATGGGTGATTTTGCTTCCCAGGGCACTTTGGCAATATCTAGAGCCACACTCAGGGGTTGGAGGGATGTGCTACCAGCATCTAGTGGAGAGAGGCCAAATTACAGCTAAACATCTCATGATGCACAGGACAGCCCCCCAAAAAAGAATGATCTGGCCCTAAATGTCAATAGTGCTGTTGTTGAGAAGCCCTGCTCTCGAGTTTGCATGCTCTCTAAACCTCTTAACCTGACACCTGGGGTTTTCTCTAGGCCATCTGCCTTATGCAGACAGAGCATGGCCATTTGGTTTTAACCTACCCGTGTCCTCAGCCAAACAGAGGTATCCACTGTTTATAACTTACTTTTATATCATTCCATGGATTGTCCATGAGTATGTAAGCATATATGAGCATCTAGGTATGAATACACAAGTGGTGGCATACCCTACACACTTATCCATACCTCACTTTTTTCACTTACCAGTATAGAATATGTATCAGTGCACATAAAGCTGTCTCGTACAGTCTTACAGGTGTGCGATGTTTCATTGTGTGGCTGCACCATGATTTATTTAACCACTATCCCCTGAATATTCTTATATACCTGTCAGTATACCCTTTTGTGAGAACCTCTGTATGTTTACTAATTTTTTTTCTTTAATAGCCTTTCTTTTCCCCCTGTTTCTGGACTTTCATGTGTGTCTTGGGCCCCACCTCTGATTCGCGCCTTCCTTTCAAGACTTGGCTTAAGGTGCTACTGCTGTTTCCTGAAAAGCCCAGAATTGTCTCCTACCTGCATTTCCTTCGATTCTTGGCAATTCACCCTTTTGGAATTTGTTCATTTGCTGTTTTTTACTTTTTTTCACACCTTTATCTAATTTTTCTAATTAGACTGTAAGCACTTCTAGGCAGGAACTGTGCCCTGCACATCTCTGTGGCCTCCGGAATACCTCCTAGTGCAGGTCTACCAGGAGTTTGTTGAATGAGTGAATGAATTCCTTCTTAAATGTGAGTATTTCAGGCTCTCAAATTATCTCAAATTAAGATATTGAATGTCATTGGGTTCTATTTAGTTTTAAAACCCAGTATTTGGCACAATCAAAAAATTCTTTTATTCTTATGAAACCAGCTTGGTTCTAAATGAGCTTTGGTCTCTTAATAGAGACTGTTTTCCCTGCTCCCCACCCCTCCTCCAACCCCCTTCCAAAAAAAATTTTTTTTAGAAGTCTCCTGTCAGGTCAGTTCTGTGTGAGTGTGCATTTAAAAACATACTGGAGCCCTACCCTAGGAAATGTTAAATCTATAGCCCTTGTGCTATTCTAGGGCATTAGAAAATTAACTTTCCAGATGGTGGTTTAGGGCTCTCAGGGGTATAGTTTATTTTTCAAATCTCATGATTTGTGAAATTGTAACTATTAATTTTACATGGTTCTTAAGGCAGTCTGGGGGCATTTACAGAGAAGGGTTAGTGTGGGAGAGTCTGAAAGAGAAAGGACTTTGGAACCACACAGACTTGGGGTCAGGTGCCAGCTCTGGCCACACCTACTTGCTTCATTACCTCGGATGGAGCCCTTCCTCTGGGGCCCTCAGTTTTCGTGTGGTGGTAAGAGGCACGTGGGATCAGGGCAAGGGTCCTTCCTGTGTCGCTCCAGGAATACTCTGCCTAAGTAAAGTTGTTGTGCTTTGTACATCAAGGTCCTCACCTCCTCATAACAAATGCAGTCTTAGCAAGCTGGCCTCTACCGCTCTGTGAGAAAGGTTGGAACCCAGTCCCCACTTGTTTCCCGCTACTCCTTTGCATATTTTGCCACCTCGGAACCCCCTTCTGTATAGAAATTCTGGTGCTGCCACTGCTCAGTTTCCTCATCTGTATCATACCTGCCTTTTTGGGCCTTTTGTGAGGATTGGCAATAACTGTATAAATTTCTTAGAATAGCCCCTAACGTATGGCAAGCATTCATTCAATAATATTGTATTTTGATGATTCTGTTATTATATACTTGATTTTACACTCATGGATGAAACCCAGAGTTCCTGTTTGTGGACTTGAGATGCAGTCAGCTGGATGTGTTGTATCCCATTGCCTCAGTGGTTCTCAAATTCTGTAATTCCAAGGTGCCTGTTGAACAAACCCCACCTATTCTTTCTTGTTACTGTAAAATGCAAGTGCTTCATTAGGTTTAGTGAAGGAAATGGTGGTGCTTTTAGTGAAATATCAGTGAAGTGGTAGCCAGGTTTTATAAATGAGGATGAGTGATGACTTACATGTTCTGGTGTCAGCACTATTACCAAAGCCCTTAGATCCAACCTGAAGGGACCTGTCCTTAGAGAGCCCTAAATCTGTTAGGGGAAGGAGTGACAAATGAAAGTAATCTGTGAGTTGTAGAAGCCACTTTTAGCATTAAATGAAGTCTAGATACCACCTCCAGGCTGCTAGAATTAAGAAAGCAAAGCAGCTCTTGATGTGTAAACAGGATGAAACACTCTAGTACCTACCTTCCGTGCGGGAGAGCTGTGCCAGCTGGCGGAGAGAGCCCCAGAGAATGTGGAGGTCACTGTCCTCATCTCTCATCTTCCACCTGACTGATGGCAAGGTCTCGGGCAAATAACTCATTTCCTCTCAAGCCCCAGTTTTTCCTGTTGTAAATGGAGGGGGTCGATGACGATCACTCCCACCTTCCAGCTCTGCAAACCAGTGGCTCTTTCAGTCAACACAGTCTAAGAAATGGAGAATGAATTCTGCTTCCAAAATAGTTGGTTAGGTAAGTGGTTTGTTTCATGTATTCCGCATGAGGGCATATCTGATGGAAAAACGAGAATCGGGACTTATAGTTCCTTGAGGCTTTGGCTCATTCTGCTTTGTATCATCTCAAGTGTCAGGCTTCTGTCCTTGAGGCAGTATTTTTACCACATTATGCTAATGTTTTCTCTCTGGTTCTGTTGCCATGCATCCATTTGAAAGACACTTTAAAATTTCTGGCTCTCCCAGTAATCTTGTGCTATTTTTTTTTTTAACCCAAACTCGAACTCTTATATTTTATGCTGTTTATATCTGCACATCTTCCTTTTCAAAAATGTCTCTGTTGGGTATAGTTCGAATGTGAGTTGAAATCTCATTGGTGAAGACATTATTTTAGCTAACTCCAGCTAAAGTTTACTGAATGACTTAGAACTTTTACATTTTGATGATTAAAAAAAAAAAGGTTGGGTCCTGCTCTGTCAGCAAACTCAAAATCCGGTAGAAGGGATACCCATGAATGAAAGTAAGTGTATTAATAGAAGTTATGTACAGGCAAGAAAGGAGCAGAAAGGGTGAGTAGTCAGAGGAGGGTAGTAGTCAGAGACGGTCAAGGAAGGCGTTTTACAAAGTAAGTAAAGCCTCAGTAGGTGTTAAAAGGTGAATGCATGTTTTCTAAGTGGCTGAAATAGTGTTGAAATGAAAAAGAGAATTACATGATGCAAAGAGATTTCCAAACCCAAGATATATTCAGAGAAACACAAGTAGTGTTGTCACAGCATAGTGTGTGTGTGTGTGTGTGTGTGTGTGTGTGTGTGTGTGTGTGTGTTGGGGAGTTCGAGGAGGTGAATGGTGGCCGTTGAAGCTGCAGGTGTGGTCCCGTTCCTGAAAGAACCTCTCAGACAGTAGATAAACATTGGAAAGTTTTAACCAGTTGAGTGACATGGTCAGATTTGTATTGCACTAGCTGTAGGCCAGATAGATTGGAGGGGGCCAAAATTGAAGACAGGGAAGAATCAGTTAGGGAAGGGGTGTTTTAGAGAAGCTGTGGAGGCCCTAAAGCAAGCACAGGTATGAAAGTAGAGAAGGAGAGGACAGGATGGCGTTTGAGACTCACATAAAATT